GTTTCCCAGTGCGTTTTCCTCAGCACCGTGGCTCTGGGCTCACCTGTCGCTCACCTTGACACCTGTAGTCTCTGGTGTGGTCTTACCTGCAGGAGGCCGCTGCCGACTGGCTCAAGGGTTCTTGGGTTGGGGCAGGGACAGCACGTGTCACAGGCCCACGGACAGGAAGGCAGGGGATCAGAAACGCAGGGGGCCGAGGGGAGAGAAGGGACTCGGAAAGTAGTGAGAGCTCCTGAGAATGACAGAGAGAGAGAGAGAGAGACAGAGAGACAGAGAGACAGAGAGACAGAGAGAGGGACCGGTACTCTGGCCTCCTGGCCTCCGGAAGAGGTAGGTCCTGTCCCCAGATGCTCCGGTGCTTCCTTTTAACCCCTGTCTCCCCAGGCCCCTGAGGTAGGAGGCCGCCCCACCCTTTCCTCCTAGTCGCCTCCCACACACATTCCTCCCACCCCCACAGCTCTGTTCCCGATGACCCCTGACCCACGCTTCCAGGGAGGCGAACACTGGTCCCTGCGTGCACTGGGGGCCTGAACCCCTGGGTCTGGGGGAGGGACAATGAGAGCTTGCCCCCCTCAGTCCTTAGATTTCTAGGTTCTTGAGCAAGAAAGTGTCCGAGGACCCAAGTGTCTGAAGACCCAAAGACGGGCCTCCCAAGTAAGCAAAGAGTAGCCACGGCCTCTAGGGGGTCCTCTGTAGGGATGGGGTCTGGGAGCCAGGCCGCGCGGGTTCAGTGGGGTTGGGGCGATCCACGCACCTGCCCGGAGTCCCTCTGTGAGTGCTGACGACCTCCTTGTCCCCATGAGAGAGTGAGCCAGCTAGCGAGAAAGCATGTGTCACCAGGCTGGCAGCCGACCCTGCCCCAGGCTGGGGCGCAGGCCCAGGCACTATGGGGAAAGGGCCTGGGACAATCAGGCTTTGTCCGCCCCCAGCGCCCAGTGCCATGCTCCTGGCAGCTCCGTTTCTCAACCTCTCTTCCCGCGGGCCGGTGGCAGGCGGCTGCGTCAATGGCTCCCCTTTGTTCCTGTATGACATCCTCCTCGCTGTCCTCCGATGGCCCGCCTGCCTCTGCCTGGCTCTCGGGGTCCTCAAGCACCCTGGCCCGTCTCTGAGTCTCTGTGTGTGTGTGCGTGTGTGTGTGTGCGCACGCGCGTGTGTGGACACACGGCGGGAGTTAGGTTCCTGGGGAGCTAGGGATGACGTGGGGGGCGGTAAGGAAACTAGTGTGATACGGGAGGGTTCGGGGAGTCGACGACATGGCAACAGGAAGGACATGGAAGGAAGCAG